TCAATAGACATTAATGTCAGGTGAACTGGAAGGTCGTCTATTTTCTTGACATGCAAACTGCAATCCATTGATTGCTTTGGAGTCTTTAAACTCAGACGAATTTCTAGATTGTCTAATTTTTCATGTCTTATCGATATAGGCGGATTGGGACCTGTACTTTATGATTTTTACAGGAGATGTGAGGAAATTTTGAATGTGATTTTTGGTTCCTTTGGCACGCTCGATAAATTCAATATAATTTTTTATTTTACTGGTTGGTTATATTTTGATGGAGATTGTTATATAGTTCATTTTTCTGAGAGTTAATTGAAACTTGATTGGAGGAAATGGCGTCAAGATTTTGGACCCAGGTCTGTTTCTATTTCCATTTCCATCAATTCATTTATTATAAGTTATTTTCCGACTTCAAAATCTATTTTTTCCTGGACTAAGTTTAGTTTAATAAATGTAAATTGTTTTTTTCTGAAATTTCATACTAATTTCAAATTAAAATTTTGATGTTGACAAGACTAGTATGTTTTACCTTCTGAATGTTCAACATTGTAGATATTATCTTATATTTGTTTTGGGGGTTGTAGGGAGATAGTGACACCGAAGAGGAGGAGGAGAGTGATTATGAGCCGGAAGACAGTGGACCAGTGGAAACAACTGCAACAACCAGAAGCAGATATCTCCAGGGTAATGCCAGCGATAGTGATGACTCAGATGGGCACAAGCGCATTGTCCGATCTGCCAAGGATAAGCGTTTTGAGGAGTAGTCTGCCACAGTTTATCAGTTGAAAAATGCTATGAAGATCAATGTCTGGGTCAGCTTGCAAGAGAGCTTTGATAAGATCAATGAGCAACTTGAGAAGGTCATGAGAGCTACGGAGTCAGAGCTCCTAATCTTTACATTAAGGCTCTCGTAATGTTGGAGAATTTCTTGAAGCAGGCCTTGGCCAATAAGGAGGCAAAGAAGAAGATGAGTAGTAGTAATGCGAAGGCCTTGAATTCAATGAAGCAAAAGTTGAAGAAGAACAAGAAGCAGTATGAAGATTTGACTAACAAGTACATGGAGAGTCCAGATCTTTTTGAGGAGAAAAACACTACGCCAAAAATGAGCTT